AGAAACACACAGGCAAAATCTTTGACCAGCCTTTTTGTGGATGTAAATACACTCACCTAAAGGATTATCAGGAACAGCATACTAATACGGTGTTTGACCCCCTTTCGCCTTCAGAACTGCCTTAATTCTACGTGGCATTTATCCAACAAGGTGCTGAAAGCGTTCTTTAGAAATGTTGGCCCATATTGGTAGGATAGCATCTTGCAGTTAATGGAGATTTGTGGGATGCACATCCAGGGCACGAAGCTCCTGATCCACCACATCGCAAAGATGCTCTATCGGGTTGAGATCTGGTGACTGTGGGGGCCGTAGTAGTACAGTGAACTCGTCATGTTCAAGAAACCAATTTGAAATGATTCAAGCTTTATGACATGATGCATTATCATGCTGGAATTAGCCATCAGAGGATGGGTACATGGTGGTCATGAAGGGATGGACATGGTCAGAAACAATGCTCAGGTAGCCCGTGGCATTTAAACCTTGCGCAGTTGGCACTAAGAGGCCTAAAGTGTGCAAAGAAAACATCCCCCACACCATTACACCACCACCACCAGCCTGCACAGTGGTAACAAGGCATGATGGATCGTGTTCTCATTCTGTTTACGCCAAGTTCTGACTCTACCATTTGAATGTCTCAACAGAAATCGAGACTCGTCAGACCAGTCAACATTTTTCCAGTCTTCAACTGTCCAATGTTGGTGAGCTGGTACAAATTGTACCCTCTTCTTCCTATTTGTAGTGGAGATGAGTTGAACCCGGTGGGGTCTTCTGCTGTTGTAGCCCATCCGCCTCAAGGTTGAGCGTGTTTTGGCTTCACAAATGCTTTGCTGCATTCCTCGGTTGTAACGAGTGGTTACTTCAGTCAAAGTTGCTCTTCTATCAGCTTGAGTCAGTCGGCCCATTCTCCTCTGACCTCTAGCATCAACAAGGCATTTTCGCCCACAGGACTGCCGCACACTGGATGTTTTTCCCTTTTCACACCGTTCTTTGTAAACCCTAGAAATATCTTGCCCAGCAAGTTCAGTTAGACTAATCTCAGAATGTGGGTTGAAACAACAAACACACCCTGACTTATAGGAGACACTGTTTTCATTTGTGTTTGCTCAGTATTAATGTTTATTTGCTAACAATGTAGCTACTGCCAGTGTGTTCCCTGGCAGCCATAAAGCTTCTCTTCCAATGAGCTCATGTTGATCCTTGGTGAAGGCGTTGCTGACAAAACCCACTTCAGACCTAACCAGGATTAGTGATCGACCATTACACCGAAGTGAGACACAGAAGTGACGGGTAGGGCTGCAACAAACGATTATTTGGATAATCGATTAATCGGATGGGGTCTCGACACGATTAATCGATTAATCGGATTACATGGGGAAATTTTGAAAAACTGCTAGGGAAACGTAATTTCTCTCCTTCCTTCACTCTATTTAACACAACATTATTAGAAAACAGTTCAATAGCAGAAAAACAACATGCCATCACCTAAATTGTCTTATAAGGTGTATAGACAGAGACCCTAAGCTACATCTATCTGTGACCTAAAATGCTTGGTCCAAGTTAAACAGCTTAAGGGCAATTCTCATCTGTTTTGTTTGATCTCATCTGTTGACATTTATTTTAAATGTAATTAAACATAGGCTGTGAATTAATCAAAATTGATCACTATTTCCAAAAATGACTGAAAAAATACCAAATAAAACAAAAGTAAATGAATGCCATCCTCCTTGCGATGATGCCCTGGGCAACTGCCATAAAGTCACATCAAGAAATGCTGCTGATCATTCCAATGATCCCAAATAGACTCACATTAGGCCACATGAAAGCAACTGAACCCAAAAATATATTAACCAGTATATAACTGCACTCTCACACAACACGCCTGCAGCAACAGTTAGGACTCCTCCCTCCCTTTTAAAAGCGTTTTTGCTTCCGAGGACATGTGGTTGTAAAACCACATGCTAGTAGTCTGGCCCCGGTGTGATCAACCAGTTTCTGCGGCAATGTGACGGCGGAACCAGGGCCAGATTAACACTTTGTTGTACCCTGGGCAACAATATTCAAGGGCTCCATCATCACGACCCGAGGATCACCACAATATGGTCACATACAGAATATTTTACTGTAATATGCAGTAAATATACTCAGTACTTGAATGCCTGACAACACGTAACCTGCCCAGAGTAACCTTTGACCCACCTCGTGTGGCCTGACCAATGAGGAGAGGGTCTTAACTTGAGGCCCTCTCTTCATTGGTCAGTCTGCATGAGACTGACTCTCAACTGACGTTCAAAGTCGTAGGCAGCGAAGCGTCTCTGTGCAGCGCAAAAGCCCGGGTGGACAGTTTGTTTAATGTAGGGTGACCATATTTCCATTTCCAAACAAGAGGACAGGGGATCTGTGCCTATGACGTCACACTATGGCAACGCCACACAAACCATGTTGGAACCCATTTTTTGTAAGAACTAAATTAATATCAGATTCTGCCAATAAAAGGGCTCTAAAACAATTCATATGTAAATATTTTGCATATTTAATGCAAAATCTCATTTTTATGCTTTAGTGCTGCAACAAGGTTTTATTAATAATAAATTATTATACCTTTTGTTTTACTACAGCATCGGTAAGCTTCCTGTGCACAGATTATTAAGGATGCTTGTTTCAGCTGGGAGATTAGACGATAGGATCAATGATAAAATAAGTTGTCACACACTCCATGGAAACTTTCAGAGAATCCACAAATAGTGGTTTTCAAATGCTTTTGTTACTTTTTGCAAGTTTAGAAAAGCAGCAGATGAGACAGCATGTCTGATAATTTAGTTTTTCATCTGATAATATTAGAACATGTCAGTAATGTCTGAGGGGCTTTTATAAACACCATATAACTAACACTACTGGAGAGGGCATGAATTACACAGAGGCTTCTGGGGAGCCCAGTTATTGGGGGGGGCATTTTGACTTGGCCCCCAAAATGTCTTGAAACGGCCCTGGGTGTGTGACTGAGTTTTGAAGGTGATCTGAATTGTATCAGATGTATAAATATGACATGTGTGTAACTTATTGTTTTTTACTGGTAAAAACATGTAGTGGAGATAAATCTACCTACATTTTACTTTTCAACACTTTGCTTTGTTTTATTGTTTTTATTTAACTATTTTCCTGTCCTGTCTGTCTCTCAACTTCCTGCATCTCCTCATAATTCTCCAGAAAATCTGTTGCCTGGATTCTTACCTTTTCACCTCATCAGTTACTTTTGAGCAGATCAAAGAGATCTCCTGACCGCAAAGCTCAGAGCGCGTTTTCGATGCTGCGTGAGGTGACATCACCACAGCACAGGTGATGAGCTCCGCAGTAGCGCGCTTCAGGCACAAATAAGACAGAAAATAGAGAACATGTGCAGACAAGAACGATCGTGTGCTAATTATAGTTTTTTGGTTGCGCCACTTTGAGAATGGACCGTGCGCTGGAAGCAGCTGCCTGGATCGCAGCGCAACAATGCGGAACCGGTTCGCAGCAGCGCAAGTCTGCAGGCTCTCCCTCGCGCTGATCTGCCGGTACCGGCTCTCCCTCGCGCTGATCTGACTTGCTCTGGTCTGCGCGCAACGGCGGGCGGGAGGGAGGGGGGGGCGCTTTTGGAAGAGTTGTGCGACACAACGAATCGATGACGCAATTCGTTGCCAACGCTTTTAGTAATCGATTTTCATCGAATTTATCGATTCGTTGTTGCAGCCCTAGTGACGGGTACAATAAAACCATGAAACACTGCGGAATTAATGTGGCACTTGTGAGAAAAGAGTTTGGCATCTGTCCTTAAAGACCAAGTTCACTCTGTTTTTTCTTCAAAACATTTGCAGTTGTCATTAGATTAAATAAATTCCTTGTGAGTTGATTTCTGTGAGGAAAAAAGCTCTGGCACTCTTGTTTCAGAAAGTAGAAGTAAGCCAAAGCAGAGGTGAGCTTCAGATGGCAGGATACGGAGTCTTATCTCCTGATATTCGGACATCTCACCTCTGATTGGCTAACAGCAACATGACTCTACCACTGACTCAGTTTGCTTTGCAACATTGATGTTTTATCTCCACACATAACACAAGCCTGAAAAAGTTCTGCCGTGTGGTGGAGTTGTTAATGCTGACAGTTAGCTTCTACTAACCAAGATGCACTCTCTCCTGGGTTTAGCACCCAGGAGAGAGTAGAGCGCAGTGTCCTGGGTGGGGACAGCAGTAGCTCAGGAGATAGAGCGGACTGTCCAGCAATCGGAAGGTTGCAGGTTTGATCCCGGTTCTGAACAGAAAATGCTACTGTTGTGTACTTGGGCAAGACACCTAACCCATTTTGTCTGTTGGTGGTGTTCGGAGGGACCGGTGGCGCCGGTGCTCGGCAGCCTCACCTCTGTCGGTGCGCCCCAGGGCAGCTGTGGCTACCGTGTAGCTAATCCTCACCAGAGTGTGAATGGGTGAATGACTGATTGTGTTGTAAAGCACTTTGGGGGGTTCCAGGACTCTAGAAGGCACTATATCAAATACAGGCCATTTACCCTTTAACATATCTCACAAATATCAAGTAAAACACAGTTTCTCAGTGAACTAGCTCTCTAAATGCTAGTTAGTATCAGCTGGTGTTAAAATAACAACTAATTTTAAACAAAAACATATTTTTTATCCCAAAGATTTTCTAGGTTAGCTTAACTGATTACTTCAAACTCTTAGAAAAATACACAATCCAGCCGTGTCCTAGTGTGAGTCACACTTAAAAAAATGAAAACCTGAGGTCCAAAGCAACAGAAAAGCGTAAAAATAAAACATGAGTGAAGTAGAACTGAGTCAAACAAAACAAGTCATTTTTAGTCTTCAAACCCAGTTGGTGGTTTTGTTGCTTTCGACTGGAGCTCCAGTCAGAAAGAAAGAAGGGAATTCCTCCATCTATGTTTTTGTATGGATTGTTTTAAAGAATCATTTCTGACATTTTGAGGCTGATGCTGGACGTTTAAAAGCTCCACTCACCTTTTAAGCTCAGTAATGAGCAGCGCTGTACAAGGGATGCCCAGAGTCATGAGCGATACCGAGTTTACTACAGGTTTAACAAAAGCCAGCCCGGTGGTGATACCCGACAGGACACCGATCACCACTTTGAACCTTAACCTGCACACAGAACCACAACACGAAGTTTTATTATACAATTCATCCTAAATACTGAAGAAAGTATTTTTTTTTGTTGTGCAAAACATCCTGTTTTGCTTTGTGCAATCACAATTTATCCATTGAACTTTTAATGCTTAACTTTAGAGCTCAACTGGCTGGTTGAGTACCCGGGTGTATGTTTTACAGCGTCTGCAGCACTTTAGTCAGCTGTTGTTTACAATTGTCTTAAAGAACTAAACTTGACTTGACACTCTGCATTCACGCGATAAACAGACTCTGTTCAGTTACGAATGAGTTAAAGCAGGCGAAGATAGGAAGCGACAGCCTGTAGAATAAAAAACAAACGCCATTGATGGAAAGAGCAGTTGAAACATGTGATGCAGCTTTTACTGGTGTCAGCTATATTAGACGTGGCTATTATTAAACCAGGGAGTCACAGCGGAGGAGCATCATGAGACAAGTCTGTGACCCACAATAAACTCCACATACTGCAAGGGTCACTGCTCTGTTTCTAAATTAAACTTTGATAACAATAAGGGTTCAATTTTATTTATGTAGCACCAAATCATGAAAAGAGTCGTCTCACAAAGTAAACATTCCAATACCGTCAGTTCATTAAGCCAATCAGTAAAATGTTTCCTATATACTGAACCCAGCTAATCACATCAAGCCACTGACTAGTGTCTGAGTCCCTTTAATAACGTTACTTAATGCATTATTAAGCATTGATAAACAAATGGTCTCTTTGTTAACATTACATAGTGCATTATTGAGCATTAATGAACAAAGGGTTCCTTATTAACATTGCTTAGTGCATTATTAAGCAATTATACTCAAAGGGTTCCTAAGTGATCTTAAGGTTAGAACAAAGGGTTTGGGGGGGGGGGCTGCTTAGAAATGCATTACGTAATATGGTTTATCAGTTATTAATACTTTATTTAATAGTTTAGTAATGCTTAATAATGCACTAAATATCGAAGTGTTACATAAGCTTTAAGACTGGAGAACTAAAAAAACAAGTGAATCTAAGATCTGTGTATGTGTTATTTAAAACAGCCCAAATATACATCTGCACAAAAGTTTTGCTTCATACCGATTCCTCCTGAACATTCTCGGCAGGTACCTCTTAGGAAACCACATGGCGATGGCACACATGAGCACCCATAAAATGGCCAGCTCGTCCAGCATCTGGCCCAGGAAGCTGAGAGTGGCATGAAAATAGGTTGATCCGATGCCTGGAAACGAGAGAGATCCACACAAGAGCAAAAATCTGAGTGAGCAAACCTTTTCTGTGTGAGGAAGGAGCTATGTCACACTTTAATGATGTATTTTGTTTTTGCATACTACTCAATGGTTCAAATGGGATTCAAAATCTGACTTTGAGGGCAACAAGAGCATAGTCTCTATACATAACCTCTGGTGATTTGGCCACAACTGTCAAAGGGTGTGACAGTTAGATGAATTAGATTGACAGTATTGATTAAGACAATTAATAAAATTTTCCAACGAGTCGTTATGATTCCATCTGTAGCCATGTTTTCTCCAAATCATTCAACTGTTTTGTGGCACATCTTTTACCCAAAACAACACAATGTTTAATCACAAGGGACTTCAGGATTAAGGGTAGACCGATATATCGCCTAACTGATATATCGCACAACCGATATATCGCCTAACTGATACATCGCACAACCGATATATCGCCTAACTGATATATCGCACAACCGATATATCGCCTAACTGATACATCGCATAACCAATATATCGCCTAACTGATACATCACCTAACTGATACATCGCAT